GCTGAACTGCACACCAAATCACAGGTGTCCCCAGGAGCTGCAGCACCTGCAGAGGCAAAACACCAGCTGGTGGATGGTGAGGGATAACAACACAGTAGGGACAGTCACACCCCTCAGCTGTGGGAGCTCCTAAAAACCTGCTCAGGATACCCTGAGATCTGTCCATATCAAGGAGTTCATTGATTGTACCTCCGTGAGGGCAGCAATGTGGGGATTTTACCCTGTTCATGTTGAAGATTTCCACACACACCTGACCATGAGTTCCAAAGTCTAACAAGCATCAAAACATCTGGGATTGTATCAGGACATGGTAGCAGCACCCACAGGAAGCACCACTTGTCAGTTAAAGGGATATAACAGGAAGATGATGGGAAATCAATTCTTGCTCTGTCTTTTCTGCTCTGATCTCATCACCCTATTGAAGTCAAGTAGTAAATGCAATCATTCCAAACTAGTGATGTGTCTCATCACAGTTCTGATGTCCCTAACATCAGAAGGACATGGAACTGTTGGAGCAAGTCCAGAGAAGGCCACAAAGCCGCACAGAGCATCGGAGCACCTTCCATATGAGGACAGACTGAGAGAGTTGGGGCTGCTCAGCCTGGAGAAGGTTGTGTGGAGACCTCAGAGCACCTTCCAGGAGCTGAAGGGGCTCCAGGGAAGCTGCAGAAGGACTTGGTTAGGAACTGCAGTGACACAACAAGGGGCAATGGGGACAAACTGAAAGAGGGAAATTTAGATGAGATATAAGGAAGACATTTTCCCTGTGAGAGTGGTGAAACACTGTCCCAGGTTGCCCACAGAGGCTGTGGCTGCCCCAACCCTGGCAGTGCTCACAGCCAGGTTGGATGAGCCTTGAACAACCTGCTCTGGTGGGAGGTGTCCCTGCCCAGGGCAGGGGTTGGGGCTGGGTGATCTCTGAGCTCCATCCTATCCGCTTAACATACTATGAAAGCTGCTCACAAGGACTGAAGAGCACAATTTGTTCCACTCATGACTGTAAATACAATGATAAAGCTAAATCAAATCAGCTCCTGAGTGGGACTTTCCTCACTCATCAGTTACTTACAGTGCACAGACTCCTTGTCTGAGGTCTCCAGACGCCCCATGTAGGCCTGCACCTCATGGACCTGCCTGCAAACACACAGCAAACCCAACACAAGTCAGTTAATAGCTATAGAATCATTTCTCAGTACCTCGATTTCACCTTCTTTCACTTGCAAGCACTCTTTAGGACAGAACAGCAATCAGCCACACAGTGTGGAGTGCAGAGAGCACATCACTGACCACAGCCTCAGTCTTTGCTTCCACTCAATTGCACCTACAGAGTAACTCCCACTTAAAACCCCAAATCCAGCTGAGAAGGTTTTTTCAGTTCAAAGAATTCCCATCCAATTGAGGTCCCTTTGTGCATTTATCACCCAAACTTGGACTCTCCCTGTGCTACACACCCTCACAGGCTGAGACCCGCTCCAGGCCAGCCCCAACTCCAGATTCTCTCTAGGGACTCCAGGGGATGAGCAGAGTCCAGGGAATGTCTTCCCACTGCCAGAGGTCAGGGTGAGATGGGTAGTTGTTCCTTGTGAGGGTGCTGAGGCACTGGCACAGGTTGCCCAGAGAAGCTGTGGCGGCTCCATCATCCCTGGGAGTGTTCCAGGCCAGGTTGGATGGGCCTTGGAGCACCCTGGGCTGCTGGGAGATGTCCCTGCCCATGACAGGGGTGGGACTGGATGAGCTTTAAGATCCTTCCAACCCAAACCAGTCTGGAATCACAGAATAAGGCAATACATAAATGGGAACACAAAAAATTCATTCCCCTTAGCCATAACAGCTGCTGCTGTGGATCTGCATTTCCAGCTCTCCAGTAGGATGTGGTGCTCTTCCCTGCACGCTCACTCTGCACTCAGTGACACAGAAATGATGGTTCAATATATGATTCGATTCAATCAAAGTCTCCTCCCACATCTCCTCCCTTAACAGAGCTCCACAGAGCAAACTCCCAATGAAATTTGGCATACTGGATTAACTGTGAACTTTGGCTCTTTCCCGTGAGTTATTCCACATGGAATAGTGTGTTGGAATGGAGCTCAGAGATCACCCAGCCCCAACCCCTGCCCTGCGTAGGGACAACTCCCCCCAGAGCAGTTTCCTCAAGGCTTCAGCCAACCTGGCTGTGAACACTGCCAGGGTTGGGGCAGCCACAGCCTCCCTGGGCAACCTGGGCCAGTGTCTCACCACCCTCACAGGGAAAATTTCTTCTGATATCTACTCTAAATTTCGCTCTTACAATTTCTCCCCGTTCCTCCTTGTCCTGTCTCTGCAGTTTCTAACAACACAGTAACAGAACAACGACAGAGCTACAAGTTTTTACACCGCATTTTGCAATTTTGCCTTATTTTGTCCTTTTCCTACCCCTGAGCTACACGATTTTTGCCTTATTTTGCAGTTTCCCACCTCTCCTCCCTGCCAGACCTGCACCACCTGTGAGACTTTGGATTTATCCTGAACAGTTCAAACGCTTCCAGAGGAGGTTCACCCTGTGCCAGCTGCACCCCTCACTCCCTGCAGCCCCAAAACCCTTACAACAACCATCCCTTAAGTAAAAGTACCCCCAAAACAGGCACCTCCCTGTTCCTGTGCCCTGCGGGAGCACAGGCTCTGCCCCCCGGGGCTGACGTGGCACTGGGCACACACTGCCCGTGGGGGGGACAAGGTTCTGACAGGGCTCGGGGGAGGTGTCGGGGGGGATCAGGGCTCTGAGAGGG